TCCTGCTTGAAAGCATGCCTTTCCCACCCCCTAGTTGCTGGGCACTTCTTGCCCACTAAAAGATCCTAACTTCAGGAAATTATGGATAACTTTCACTCCAAAATCGAGCCTCATGGGGCACAAGATGGTTAAACATTTCCAAAAATCTTGGCCCTTTTCTTCTAAATTCTTCTACCATACTTGTGCTTTCATAGCCATGGTGCTTATTTATGTTTTTTTTCTGCAAATAGGAGTGCCTGGACAGCTGTCTTCAGTGTCATCTTTATAGCACTGTGTTACAGATTTCAGTAAAGGTGCCACGGCAATCTGATTGCTAAAATGATTTGGGCCAGTTACTGTGGTGTTATGGGAGTGTGAAACTGTACTTGAAGACAGCTTGAGAGAGAGAACTGAAAAAGAAATAGCAAGTTGGATAGATTAAAACACGGATGCAGGCACTCTTGGGTTAACACCTCCAAAGGAGTTTCAACTATGGAAGTTGTGTTGTTAATTTCTGCATTGATATTTGGAATTAACTTTAAAATTTCCAATAATAAAGATAATGAAGAGATTAACAATATGTTCCTATTCCTACAGAGTTTTTCAGTAAAGATCTTGGAGTACTTTCCAAACAGGAATTAATAGATCCTCACCACATTTGCTGTAAAGTGTATCAGTAATGTGCATTTCTGAGCAATTTTCTGCTATTGCTTATTAACATTATATTCAGCACAGGAGACCAAACCTTGCACAAGGGTTTTACTGTTGATGTAGTTGCTCTTTAGGTTGTGCTTTTTTGGAAATAGAGCTTATTTTTCTGAAGTCTGTATATGTAACTTGTCCGTGTTTGTTTCACAGTGTAAAAAGCACCGCTTGTCAGTCGGCCATACAAACAGCTATGCTAAATCAGTTGTGAACATGGCAGATCTAGTAAGTATCACTCAACTAAATGTTCTTTTACGTGTGACGTGAGTTGTATGATTCTCCTTCCAATAGATACAGGAGTTGTCAATTCATGGTACAACTGATAGTAACATATACAGAGATCACAAGTTTTCATCACAGTCAGTCATCTATAAAGCCTTTGTCTAACATAAAGCATTAGAGATTTTTTTGTGGCTTCAAACATTTAAGTATCCTGCTGGATCAGTCCCTTGAGTCCGAGTTTTAAAGAGCACCTTAGACATGACAGTTTTTAACACAGGATCCCTGTGTTGGCAATCTGAAAGCCAAAAGACAATCTGAAATTAGAATGCACTAAAATTTCTTCAGAAAAAGTGCATTTGAGTAGATGAGTTAAAATAGGGACATATAGTTGGATTATGTGGATTATATTTGTGACACTAAATCAGATGAGCTGCTGGCTCTTGCACCTCACCCCAGAAAAATATTATTAGAAAAACAAAATGCAGTTCCCAGTCTTGAAAGTATTTAATGTGGAGTATTATCCCCCAGCATTGAAAAGATGGCACTTTTTTTCATGATTCAGCCAGCATGAGCTCCTGTAGAGCTTTATAACAGTGACAACTGTGATTTTATAGATCACTGTTTGGTATAAGAGAGGCCTTGTGTGTCACTGGAGTGAGCTGGATGTTATAAAAGACCCACTAATTCCAAATCTGAACTATTTAGAATGGTCCTATAGTAATTTTTCAAAAATCCCATCTCCCTTCTATGCACCTCTGCCTGTGTAGGGCTGGCAAGAGATCTCTGCGTGCTGAGAGAGCTGAATGAAGAGTTAGGCCTAAAATGTAGATTTTACTTTGTTTTCATGTTTGTTGGTTTTAAGGGAGATAAAATCACCTGGGAGAACCTAAAGTGTGCTAGAACAAGCTAAATATTTAGTTATGTAAAAATGCAAGCTATTACAAAAAAGGGGTAAAACTCACCTTTATTTTATATGACATAATATATTTGTTCATTCTGTTAATGTACTAGATATATAAAGAACAACTTAACACCAGGATAGTATTGGTTGCCATGGAAACCTGGGCTACTGATAACAAGTTCACCATATCTGAAAACCCCGTGGTGACCCTACGTGAGTTTATGAAATATAGGAGGGATTTTATCAGAGAGAAAAGTGACGCAGTTCACCTTTTTTCGTACGTAACCTCGTGTGATGTTTTATTACTGGGTTTTTTTCTTTCCTTGGGGGTTGCTTATCACAACTGGCTGATGCATCTCCTTTCTGTTGTGTGTGTAATCCACAATAATTCAGAAAATAATGTTTCTGATGGGGAGGTGGGAAAAAGTTAATGCATAAGCTGCCTGCCAGTGCAACTAGAGGTTTGACTCACATTTTAGTTTTAACATACTAAGCCTGAGCTGCATGCACTGTACTTTTTGGTTATTCTATGCAATTACCTACTCCGCAAGCGCAGCTGCCTGGAAGGTGATGCATGGTTCCACCTCAGAGATTGGCTTCTTCGGCAGTAGAGCACAGACAGCCCTCTTGTATTATTTAAAAGCAGAACATTGGTTTTGAAACCAATGAGGTTTCCTGCTTACAAAGCACTATGGCCTGCTTTACTTTGTTGAATGACCTGCATGCTGCAGGATTACTGAAGGGTTTCAGATTCTCAAAACAGTTTGTTCTCCAGAGAGACATGTGCTCTAAGAAAACTAAGCTGGGATGAATGTTATTTTCTCTAAATATCTTATTTGTTTTGGAAATAAGATTGATATAATAAAATATATCTACAAAAACAGAGGAGAGGTTCGTGGCTGAGATTTTTGATCCACGTGAGACAGGCCAGATGAATTGCTCTGCTGGAGTCCTTATCCCTCTCTCCTGGCTGCTGTAGGAGCCTTTATGAATAAACTCACTGTCACATGACTCCAGAAGGGTATCAGGATACCCATCCCCAGTATCCACCCTCTCAGAATTTTTGCACACACTTCATTACTGTCATTGACTTCTGCCATGAAAAGAGCTAGTAGGATCTGCAAGTGGTGCTTGCAGATTTTTGTTTCTCTGTGTCTCTGTTCTTCATCTGTAAAATGGGAATCAGGTTTTCTCACATCCTTCATGTGTCTTCTCTGGTAATATTTTAAGGTCTTTGGGAGAAGTATGGTTCTTATGAATGTTTGTGGACTGGCTAGGACAAAGAGGCCCTGTTTGCCCTGTGACTGGAACTCTGGATGCCACTGTAATGCTAATTCCAGCGCTGTCCATAACACCACCACCAGTGGTGTTTGAACTATTGAATTCATAGATTGCTTAGAAATATCAGTTTCTGAAATTCTGACTGTGAGTGAGCCACAGCTAATTTGGGAGGTTGGCTGGTGTGATGGTACAGTAGTTACAAATGAACTTCCACCTTCAGCACAGTTAGCCCATTGTATTGTTTCTTGATGTTCTTTTGTTTTCCTTTGGAAAAAAAAAAAAAGCAGTTTGCCACAGCTTGGATGGATCAGTGCTCTGCAGTGGAGCAGAGCATATTTTGTCTCCAGTAGCTGGCAGTCATACGTGCTGACGTGGTGAGCACCAAAGAGATTTAGACTCAGAGTGCATCCGTCCCTTGGGTGAGATCGGCTGCAGTTCCAGGGAGTTTTCTTCTACCTCTGCATCAGGGAGCCGCTAATGCATCTGCCTTTGATTTTTAACACATCGGCATTGCCCAGCTAGACACATGTCTTTTTACTAGTCCCCCATGTGTTGGCCGCGTGGTGGCCTCTTCTGCGCTCTGTCTGTAACATGTGCCAGCAGAAGTCCCTTGCTGCAGTAGTATGTCAACGAACAAAAGGCTGGTGAGCTTCAGGTGGTTTGGCAAAATAGTCCCCTTATGCTTTCTTGTATTAGGTAGTGTGAAGTGGAGGAGGGAAGATGGTATAACTTTTCTGGAGATAATTTGTCATGTGAGGTTTGAGTGGTTATCTGTTTTTCCCATTTTGTTTTTGCATAGTTTTCAGCATAGCGGTGGCAACCATCATTTGCAAATGCCAGTTTTTCATTTCGAAATCAGAAGGGTAAATACTGGGATGGGTAGGTTTAAACTCATGGACTGAGCAGAGTAAACTTTCTTTTCTTTTCCTTTTTGTCAAAGGGGGAGTCGATTTCAGAGCAGTCGAAGTGGTGTAGCCCACACTGGTGGAATCTGCTCCTTGCTTAAAGGCGGAGGTGTGAATGAGGTAGGTGGGGATACTGGTATGAGCAAAAACTGGTGGAAATTTGTCTGCACAGAGTTTGTCAGCACAGACATGTTCCTCAAAATATCTTGCTGCTGCTTTGCTGATGCAGAGTTTTAGTGCAGCTCTGTAGAAGGGATGTCTCAATGAAGACTGGTGAGTGAATAAAGTCAGATGTGGATTCAGATACACTGTTCAGCAGATTCTGTAGTGTTCCGACAGTCATACTTGCAGCCACAATGGCAAGAAAGAAGCAGATTTTCTCCTACTTAACTTGTCCATAAGCCAGCATTTAGTCTTCCTCATTTGTCCACTACCTAGCTGCTCTGAAGTGAGAACGCTAACACTGTGCATCTGATTTTGCCATTTATTGCCTTGAAATGAGAAAAGCTTCACTTGTATCTGAGATACCTGTATGGAACTGATTACTCTTCCTACCTTGTTTCTTTCAGTTTGGAAAGCCAGACTTAATGGCAGTTACTCTGGCACAGACCTTGGCCCAAAACATTGGCATTTTCTCAGACAGAAGAAAACTTATAAGTGGTAAGGGTGTTTGCTTTTTCACTCTCTCTCAAGTGGAAAAAAAAAAGAATTAAAAAGTGGAGGATCTTATCAGTGTCCGTCTGATATGTATTTTTTCCCCATGTTTCTCACAATGTTGGAGTATTTTTATTTTTCTTGTAATAACATGAGGAGGGACTGACATATCATTAATTTTCCTCTATTTAAGTGCTGCCCATAATTGCTGGCAGCACTGGTGTTACCATTTCATTAAAAATAAATCATAAAGGTGTCTGCCACTTCCATTCAGTTCAGGGAGATCGGTGTCACACCCGCAGACTGAATGGCTGCCACCTTATGGTGCAGAGGTAGAAACGTAATTGTTAGACCTGGGGATGAGGAGAAGCCACCTCAATCCTTTTACGCAGGACTGTTTTGACAACGTAGCTATTTCCCTGTTTGCCTTGATTGAGATCCTCTTGTAGATTACCCAAATCTCCTGTTCCTCTTGTAGATTATCCAAATCTCCTTTATTTGCTACCCTTCTGCTATTATTTCTCTGCTGTAATCTTGGTATTCAGCTCCTTAGTAACCCATATTTACCTGCAATGCTTTAATTCAGATCTCCCCCTAACAAGCACCTCACTGTCCCTGCTTCCATGTTATGTGAAGTCCCAGCTTGATATGATTAAAACAATAATACAGTTTTGAAATAATTCAGATGATGGAGTGCTTCATTATTGGATCATGTGTACTTCTGTGGCTTACATAAAAAAAAATTACTGTATTGAGTAATAGAACTCTGCTTAGGTGAATTTTGTTTTCAGGCATTGTGAAGACAGCATGTAATGCAGAAATACATCTGCATGTAAAGGTTTTTGCAGTTGATGTAATTTTATTTTGAAAAATATTCAGAAATGTAGGACAGATGCTCTGTGCTACTGACATGTTCAGTATTTGTTTCCAGCTACGTATTGTTAACCCAATATAGGGGCAGGGTAAAAGTGAAAATGATAATAGCGGTGATTCCCTTTCTGACAGCTGAGCAGGGGCAGGGGGCCAGGACGCTGTTGTGGTGGGGAGGGAGGAGAATGCAACTGTTGCACAGAGTCTCATTTCCTTTTGTAATTCTTCTTTTAAAATGGAAGCAGTAAACTGGTGTTCATGTATTACAGTGAGGCAAATTGCAGAAAGAGAAAGTGTACGTGCAAAGCATGTGTACAGAAATAGGCACAAAACACTGTTTTGAAAGCAGAGGGCTGAGACCAGAGCAAAGCAATCCCAGGGAGGGCTGCCCCATGCTGCTGGGGTGTCCTGCGGGGATGGGAAGCAGGCAGGGAAGGGCAGGAGAGCAGAGGGAGAAACTACTAGATCCTGCTGTACTGCCTTGTGTGTACTCGCCATTTTATGCATCTTTATGTCATTCTTGTTTGTTGTTTTTTTTTGTCAAGCAAATTTCCCCAGTCACATTAGCATAGTCGAAGAAGAGAACTGAAAAACTAGAAGAAGGGTTAAAATGTTTCATTTTTTTTTTACTCTGAAAATATGGGGATAAAATATCGTGACACAGAAGGCAGGAAAGCTGACTCATGATTTGCGAGTGCTGGAGGCTGATACTGCAGTTGCCCTTAACTTCACTTTAAGAGAAGAAAAAAAAGCAGGACATATTTTAAAAGCTCAGGATTGCCTAGAATCATGTATAGGTTTTGAAAGAAAGTTTGCCAGCATGCACTGATACACTTAAACTAAGGTATGCAGTAAACCAGCAAATTACTCTTTTCAACTTGTATTTAAATAGGAAATGGAACTGACTACATGGTGGATTTTTTGGTAAGAAATGTATTATTTTGGACTCACAAGACTCAAGATGTAATTTTTTTTTTTTTTTTTTTTTGTCAGGTGAATGTAAGTGTGAGGACACGTGGTCTGGATGCATAATGGGAGACACGGGGTAAGGTATTTCACTAAGGGAAAGTCATGTCCTTCATACGGTGACATAAAGGAAATGCTTGAAAACATTGGACATGGACATGAAATAACTTAAGTGAAATGTTTTAGACCTCTTGCTTTGCATGAGCTCTGTGTCATTGTTGAAAGTTCTTTGTATTTACTGAAATGATTCACAAATTAAGAGTTACAAGCAAATAGTCATTCTGATTCTGAACAGTGTGGTTTTGTACTTCTTCTACAGTATAACATTATATTTCTCCGCCTATTTGAAAAAGAGAAAATATAGTGAAAAAACACTATAGAAAGTAATCCTGCTACCTTGTTTCTGTGCAGGTATTATCTTCCAAGCAAGTTCTCCAAGTGTGATATTGAAGAGTATTATGAGTTTTTAAACAATGGAGGTGGAGCCTGCCTTTTCAATAAACCAACCAAAGTAAGCATTACCTTATTATTGAGTATTATTTCTATTCTATTTCCAATTTGGATGAAACCAAGAAGAATAGAAATGATAATGTTGGAAAAAAATAACATCTATGATTTTGATATTTCTAGTTCTCTCTAAGTTCTAAATTTTCTGGTGACATATGGGTGAAAGTAGCTGATTTTAGTTCATGTTAGTTTGGAATTTGTATTTTAATAAATTTTCAATAAGTAATTTCATGTCCAACAGGATTCCCACAGGTTTTGGTCTAGAATCATTCCTCATGCAGTTTGTTCTGAGTATTTAAATACAATATGTTGCTGATATCCCTGATGAAAAGGTTGAGACAATGCTGTTTTCGGACTGACTCTTACATAAGGTTTCAAGTGTCTTGATAAACTTTTGCACAGCTTGAATTAGAATTTGCATTGAACTGATGTCTTTTTGGTGCAAATCTCTGGAAGCTGAAGTAAGATTGCTTTTACTTCACATCTGTCCCAAGATGAAGATGTGGCTCCTAGAGCCTCTGCAGGGAATGCACTGCCATGCAGCCCTGTGGCTTTGCAGGCACCAGCAGTTGCAAGTGGTCATGATACTCTCCCTATTCGGAGTAGGCAGAGTTTTTACGGTGTCTCTCAGAACATAGTTTGAAAACTGGGACTAGTTTTTCTAAAGCTGGAAGAGGCAGAGCAGGAGAGAAGGCCCTGAGGAGTAGGGGACAGACAGGAGAGCTCATGGCTGCTGGGCAGCTGTCACACTCCTCATTCCCCAGGTGCTGCCCGCACAGTCCTCATCACTGTCACCGGGGTCTGTCATCACCTGAACTGTGGGAGAAACCCGTCTGGTGGGAAGTTCTCAGATCATCTTAGCTCCTTCCAGGTCAGTGCACGTGGCTCTGCCGAGCCCTGCTGTGTGCTGGATAGCCCCACAGATGGGGAAGGCTGGCGAATCCCTGCTGGCCCCTGGTCCTCAGTGCCACTCTACCTCACCTCATGTAGGAGGCTGCGCTGCCTCCCTAAAGGCTTGGGGGTGGGAGAGTTACAAAAGTGTTGGGACCTGCTTAAATGACTGACCCATCCCCTCAAAATTTGCCTCTAAAGTATGAAATCAGAGGTGTCACTGCATGAGTCTTGGAAATCAGAAATGGGGAATCTATCTTAAGGTAGTATTTGCCTTTTCTTTGCTTCTCTTGTCTCAGTTTTGACCTGCTAAACAGGTGTATTCATGTGAAGCATGCAAAAAGTATGAAATGATTAACTGTGACATTTAAGGGAGGGAAATACAAAACAAGACTAAAGAAACTCCAGCCAAGACGCAAGTGCTTCTGTGATGGAGAATTCGCAGCCAGGTTTCAGTATATTTGTGCTCCATTTACTGAAGCATGTGTTGGAGTGTAAAGTAATCAGGATAATGATCTTGACTCTTTTCTATATATAATTAATGTTATCCTCTATTTAATGGTTGTCTTTCAACAAGCAAAGGAAAGAGGCTAAGGCAGAAAGACAGTTTAATGTGACAAAAAGATCTGATAGCTGAGGTGATCACAGATGTAAAAGAGAAAGTCAGTTCTGGAGTGATGCACGTTCCTCCTGGAGTGGCTGAGGAAAAGTGCATCTCTGACAACCATGGAATTTCAATATTTTTGGGAAAGAGAAGGTATCAAATCTGGATAAGCTGAGTCTGCTTATCTCTCAAAGGTCTCATTTTCATGGAAGAATGTATTATTAAAAGTGGAGAGAAAGCACTGTAATTCATTAATAAGATGTAAGATTTCTCGTTCTTTAAAATGCACGTACGTTTTAGAAGTTTGCTTTTGCCATCTCATTAAGGGTGGAGAGAAATATTGTTGATTTTACTTCTGTGCTGAGAGGATTTTTTCCGTAATGTAGTGTAACTTACTTGGGCTTATTTTAGCGATTATGGTCATTTACACATCTGTCGACTGGAAAAAAAAATCAACAATTACTCTCATCTCAGTTTAGATTGGCAGAATTTACAATTTTTTCTAATGGCATGTAGAAACGTGGAAGTTAGATGTGGAAGCCAGGGTGATTTAGACTCTTTTATGTATTGTTGTTTGGGTTGGTTTAAAGTTACTGTCAATGGATGTCCGTCTAATTCACAAGGCTGTCAAAGATGTGTTTCTTAGCAAGGGTGATGAAGCACAAACTTACTTTTGCTTGTCAAGAAATATGAGATAAAGGAAAACTGAAGTGACAATGTGCAGTGTTTGACGGAGCTCCACTGTAAGATCAGCTATGATCCTGACAATTACATCAATGACAGCTGGAGCAGATTGAGTGTATGCTCTTTTCAAAGGAATGGATGTATTATGACTTTTGGGGAATAGTTATCCAATTTACTTTTCATGGGTTTTTTCCTTCCATTTTGTATTTAGCTGTCCCTATGTACTGCATCAAATTGGCCCAATGGTTTAAGGCAGGACCCTCTGTTACTGCTATCTACTTGTCTGTGTTGTGCAGCACACCTAGAGATACTGAAGAAGTTGAGATGTCTGGAAAAATATGTAGGAAACAAGCAGTTTTAACAACTCTTTAGTAATTCTAATAGATGATTGCTTGCTTACATTTAATGTTAAACTCTGCATGTGTATTTCGTGCTGCAGTCAAATTTCCAGCTCAATAGGGGGACCTAATAATAGCAGCCTGTGCCACCAGCCTCAGGCTGGTTTGTGGCACAGTAAAGTACACGGGGTGATGCTCCATCCTGTGGGCTACTGACAGAATGGCAGCAGCCAGAGAGAAACACTCTACACCATGAACGAACGACATACTTGTGCAGATGGCTCATAAGCAGAGTGGTTTCTGGAACAACCCTAGTTTAATTGGAGAACTCGGAAGACAACCTGCAAAATTTTAGTCTTGGTGACACAATTATATGCCCTCTCATTTATGTAATAAGAGCTACTATTGTGTTTTCTTATGCCCAAAGGAAAAAAAAAACCTTTTAATTTTCTTTTCGAAGAATTACCTTTAGAAATTTTAGGAAAATGGAAACAATGAAACTGGAAAGAACAGAGTAAAAGTGTCCATTAGAACAGAGCATAGCATGGATCCTGTGTAAGAAAAATGCTGAATGAATCTTGCCTCTGCGAAAGTAAAGTACTGCTACAAATACGCAGATTTAGACATTTTAAGTTACAGTTTAGTGGGGAGACTGAAGGGAAAGGGGGGAAGCTTCACCAGCTATACTTTCTCATCTGCCTGTGACACATGCTTATAGAAAAATGGCTGAAAGTTCCCAACTGTGGTAGAGGAAAAGGGAAGGAAAAAGCATCCGTCTACAATAAAAAATGACAAAGAAACCCTGGAATTTCTGAGCCACGTGCTACCAAAGGACAATTTTTATGGCTGTTCCTTCTGAAGTTATAGTGCAGGCTTCAAGCTGGGACACAGCACTTATCACTTGAATTCCAGAGCAATTGCAACCCCTGTGACGATAATGAAAATGTCATATTGCTTTAAATTTTTTCCTTTATTGTCACAGCTTTTGTTTTTTGATTATGACTTCTGTTCAAACTGAATCTGCTGTAAAAACTGCACCCATGCACAGAAGACACCATGTGACACAGCAGTCTTGCTGGATTAATCCACAACATTGTTCGTTCTCTGTGCATTTTGGTGTGTTGTTTCCAGCCTGCTTCTCCCTGAGGTGTGGGTACTGTTTTTCCGTTAATGCATTTGGAATGCCAACTAAAACCCCATGTTGTACAGAGTAAATATGACAATGATTCCCTTAGGAAGAACATGTCCTTTAATTTCCGATTTTACGCTGCAGCTTCTGGATCCCCCAGAATGTGGCAATGGCTTCGTGGAAGATGGAGAAGAGTGTGACTGTGGGACGATAGCGGTAAGTGCAATGTGCTTTAAATTAGCGACTAGATGCTCCAAGACTTGGTGCTGCCCATCACTGCCATTAACATTAAGTGGAAGAAGACAGGCAATGTTAAGGCCCTGTGCCAAAGGATTCATCGTTTCTTACCTTTTCCATCATGTGTAACACAATGTGGGTGCCACCCACCACTCCATTGACATTAAGTGGAGGAAGACAGACAATGTTAAGGTCCTATGGCAAAGGATTCATCATTTCTTACCTTTTACCATCATGTTTAACACAATGTGGGCCAGCTTTTTTATTTTATCACCACATATATTCTGAAGAGTAATAGTAATAGCTACCTGTGCAGAATCAGGCCTTAAAAGATGTTAAAGAAAGTGTTTTCACAGTTCGGAACATGACTCTGGTCAGTACTAAAATATCAGTATTTAATGATTGACACTGTGAAGTTAGAAAAATTATTTCTGTATTGCATGGGAAACAGCAGCTTCATGCCCCACAGTGCATGCCTTTTTCTGCTTCCAGGTGCCTAAAAGCCTGGTTAAAAATCTGTTCAGGTAGCGTGCTGAGACAAGAAGTAATATGAGAGCTTGGGGCTCATCTGCTTTTCCCATGTATTCTGTTATAAGTGTGTGTGTTTCTCAGGAGTGTGCCAGCGAAGGAGGAGAGTGCTGCAATACTTGCACCTTGACGGCAGGCTCCCAGTGCAGCAACGGGCTCTGCTGTCGGAAATGCCGGGTAAGGGCAGTGACCTTCACTGCAGCATCCTGGTGGGAACGCATCCAGGTGGCTACAGGCACCACAGCACATGTCTTATTTTCCTTGCTGACCTTGTGATTCCTTTTCTGAAAGCTTGCCTTTTAAAATTGACTGAGAACTGGTTTGTCTGGGGCTATTCTCTGTCTTTTAGGCTTGGCCTCTTGGGGCAGAGAATGTGATCAAATACAGAGCTGAATTAAAGCCTTCCAGTTTCAGACAAGTTTGAATCAGGCAGAAGTTCCATGAGGTTTCATTAGATGTCCTTGTTTAAAGGCGCACATCCTTACCCATGTATGCTTCCAACACCTTACATGTTGCTCTGGACTTGCCCCATGAGACTGAATAGGCAAATCGTACTACAGAGGCCCAAGAGAAGATACAGTGAAAAAAAAAAAGCTCACATCTAGCAGGATTGTTCAGAAGGGTTCATCTAGAAGACACCTGACCAGTTTTAGTTAGGTCTGCCTTTGTCTCCTTATATTTGGACTGACTGAAATCCCATTGAGTAAGGCAATCAAATCCTATGTAAACTATAAGGTATTCTTCCTGATACATCAGTAAGTAGTAAAAGGAGGTTTAGCCAGATCTTGACTGTAAGGGAGCCCAGCTAAATATGACTTCAAATAGTTGTTTGTACTCATTTAGTAAGAACAATAATTACTATTAATGTTATTAAAACTGTGGTGTACTATGTATAATATTTTTATTTTTGTTCTGTGGGCATTTGAGGGTTTCATTTTCTTAGGAGGAACAGTAGTAATAACTGTGGACCACATTCTTGACTTTGTGCTCATCCTAATGTTAAAAAAAGAAAAAGCACAGATTATGCTAGAATAGATCACATTTCCTTAAGCACATTCCTTTTTTTAATGTAATATAAAACAATTAGCAGATTGCCAGTGCAGGTGAATTTTGTTCAAGTGTCCAAATCACACAGGCACCTTATTAAAGGCTCTCAGAAAAAAATTAAACTTCTGTGTACCTACAGTATTTTTGCAAATGAGGCAGGGGTTTATCTACATAGTGGCGAGGGCGAGCCAGTGAAAAGAAAGGCAGAGTTTTGCAAAACACATGTCCCTAGGAGGTGTTAATCAGGACAACTCAAAAAAACATCTATAACTGTTCCCAAACTTGGCGTAACCTTCCCCTGTATGATCCTGCCTGAAAGCAGGAGTGAAGGAGGGACTGGAAGCAAAACATGGTGGGTGTACGTCCCAGCATCCTGTAGTGTCTCTGACAACAGTCCTGTCTGTCTGCATTTTTCCAGAGACTGGTAGGAAAAGATAATCCAAAGGCTGAAAAGGTACCAGAGCCTAGCTCTTCCACTGACGTGTGCCCTTCCACACCAGCTGTGGAGCTAGCAGCTGTCCCCCAAAAAATGTATGTGCATGCAGATCCAGAAAAAAGTCACAGAGGTGCAAAATGAACTGGGTATCACAGGCTTAAGAAACCTTTCAGGGAAAATAAGGGGTCTGCACTATCAATAGCCACTAAGATGTCTTCTGCTGTTACATGTCTTGAGGCTTAGCACATCTTTTAACCAAAATGCCTGTGTTAAGTCACTGATAAATTTTTCGTTGTTAAATATCTGGTCACATAGAAAATGGTGTCAAACTGTACGGAATTCAGCACATTTATTAATGGCTTCTGTTCTACAGTGGAACATTGTAATAAGCATAGTGTTTACACTAGATCTTCGCAGTGTTGTTCATTTCTAGAAAGAAGACCAGGATCTCTCTCCCTGTTTTATAAGGAAGAGTAAAATAGTCACAAAAAGGCACAATGATGTGGTCAAGATAATGCTGCAAGGCACTGCAGTATTAGTTGGATAAATGTCAGAGGTCCTGTGTCCTGGGAGAGCGCTTATCCTGCTCGTCCCCATGCTCAGTGCTCTCCAAGGCACCACTTGCACCAGCAAAGGAAAGGAAAGTCTTCCCACTTCAGTCGGCACGTGAAAGTTTCCCATTTTTTATTTTATTTTTATATCTAAGCAAGTATTGTATTTAAGGCAAAATACGATGAAACCAAGACACTAATTTTCTGTCCTTTCTTTCCAGTTTGAACCTAAAGGAGTTTTGTGCCGAGAAGCAGTCAATGATTGTGATATTGCAGAGAACTGCACAGGAAATTCCAGTCAGGTGATTTTTATATCTTCTATCCAAGGGATGAAAAAACCCCCACCTGTAGTCTCTCAGTCACTATAAATGTTACCATTTTATATATAAAAATTATATTAAACCTGCTGATACTAGAAAAAAACCCAGTGTGATACTGAAATAATTTTCCATATGGCATCTGTTGTATGCTTTGCTTCTATGCTTGTCTGATCTATGATCTATTAATTATTTTCTTTTTCTGTAGTGTTCTCCCAATATTCATAAAATGGATGGATATTCATGTGATAACAAGCAGGTGATTAGCACTTCAATTTGTTTTACATTCTTTCTGCTTTTATAGATTGCTTTTAATAGATTTTTGTTTAAGATCTTTGGAAGTCACCTGGGACAGTTCTGCTGACATTCCTGCATTTTGGGTGCTAGTTACAGTTTGGAGCTAAGCATTTAAATGAACAGAAAATAGAATCACGTATTAGTTGCCTCAACAGAGAGCATGCAACAAATCTGTATATTAAACAAATATGTATTTTGGAAAATCAAGTTATTTGAAATTTTTTCTGTATCTTTTATTTCTTTCTAGGGTATTTGTTTTGGAGGAAGATGTAAAACCAGGGACCGACAGTGTAAATATATCTGGGGTGAAAGTGAGTGACTGTTATTGTTTCAAAGTTGGTTGTTGTTCATGTGGCTTGAAAGATTATCCTAGCTGAGAAAAATTATGGAAGAGCCCTATTTAGAACCATTAAAACCAGCTAAGACTGTATGTCCCTCCCTCTCTTCCCTCCTCATTTTGTCTTTCCAGCCTCTTTTCCAGCTCTTTCTCTAGTGTTGGTTAACTTACTGGTGATTATTCTGAAGTCTTAGGTTTAACTTCTCATTAATAACCACCTAGGGAGCCTATACTCATATTTGTTGATTTCTTTCACTGGCTTCTGGACATTTTGGACCGATGAACCCTGGTCAATCTGATCAAAATCTTAAAACAGTCCTATGGTACCAACATAAAACTATTCATTGAGAACACTGGGCAGAGTTTCGCAGGCCACCTGCAGACCATTGGTACTGCAGTGTACAGATTGGGAAGCTCTGCTTGCTTTGATTTGGCATCGTCATTTCCCAGGACCTGGCTTTTCAAAGTCTTCATCATCTTAGAAGAGATATGTTTCTGTTTTTAGAAGTGACAGCTGCTGACAGGTACTGCTATGAGAAGCTGAATATTGAAGGGACTGAGAAAGGGAACTGTGGAAGAGACAAAGATTCTTGGATACAGTGCAATAAACAGTAAGTTGATCCATTTAGAAGACAACTGGTATAAGATTTTTGCTCCTGATGTAGTTCTTTAGCTGGCATGAAGAGGCTCAAGAAGCCTCTGTACAAAACAGATTTCTCCTGGATGCCTTCTGCAGACCTGAGTGCAGGAAACTGGAGGGAGAGGAGTGTTGAGAGGAGATGATCTCTGACAAGAGAGTACCGTCTGAGCTTTGGGAGCACTTGGACCAAAGGTGGTCCTGGTACTCTTGGTGAGGCTTAGCAGTGCAGAGGAGAGCAGCCTGTGGTCTCTGTGGTGGTCACCTTTTATGCTGTGCCATTGCATTGCTAACTTGGGTTCAGTTTTCATCCTATTGTAACCCTCCACAACTTTTCCTGCAAGTTGCTGCCTAAACCTCTGTTTGTTTGTGAACCTTTTGCCAGTCCTCCTCAAACTGTACTCTGGTGTTTCAGATGAGTTCTCTGTTCTGTCATTGAATTCTAGTCCTACTTACAGATGAACTAATGTCCTTTCCCACCTTTCTGTGCAGATTTGATAACCTTACTTTTGTTCCACTGCAAATTCACAAGTAAAAAATATTCAGTAATATGGGAGAGGCCAGATAGCGTACAGATCTCCACACACAAGTTATAAAGTCCCTTCAACAGTTGAATTAAACTTGATGTCTCTAGTTCCCTTTCAAGTGTCATATGAGAGTTTGTTTAAAGCCAGTATCTACTGCTTCTCCTCTACAGACCAGTTACTGTATCTTAATAGAGTATTAAATCAATTTGATGTGGTTTGTTCTTGACAGCTCCCTGCTTGCTGTTACTCAGAGCATTTTTGATAATGCATCTTAAAAAAGACTCTTTTCCCAGTCTAAGCTCTGAGGAGAATAATTTTCTAGGGAAACAGGACATTATTTATGGGAGTTACTGTCAGTGGGAGAAAAGCAAGGAATAACAAACATGTTACAAAGCAAGTGAAGAAAAACACATTTTTTGATCATCCCTTTTCATTGAATTTTCTTTTCAGTGAGTATCTTTTTATTTTGTCATTGTAGGGATGTGCTTTGTGGGTACCTTCTGTGCTCCAATATATCCAGTGTGCCTAGACTTGGAGAACTTGATGGTGAAATCACATCGTCAGTCTTGCAGTTTGGAAAAGTCTACAATTGCAGGTAATTGGAAATCCTGAAATAGAACAGAGACAATGAATATCCATCTTGCATGGATAAGCAGCTTTCTCATTCCTAAGTGTAGAACAGCTGTTTCCATTAAATTTTCTTTTCCTATTAGCACATAACCATTATTCTAGCTCAACCTTTGTTAAGCTTCAGGAACTTGACAGCACATGGGGAGTGCAGCTGTTTTGCAGTCCCCTCTGTGTAGTAGTTAATTTTGCCTGTAGAGACATAATGCTCTTCTCTGGCCTCTTGATTTTACGTTCTTTAGTGTTTATGAAGTACTTAATGTACTCAAAATGCTTAGACATGTGCCTGTACTGCCAAAGCTAACTGGCAGCTTAATACATGCCATATGTTAGCTGAATCCCCATTATAGACCTGGTGTGTTCTTATAGCTTAACATGGCTGTAAGATGAAACAGAGTCCTACACAAGTAAACTCAATGTTTTATCCACCACTAGCTCTTACACAGGAAAAATGTTCTTTGTTTTCACCATTATATTTGTTTGATATAGATATACGTTTCGGTTTGTTTCACGTTAGGGCTATTGAGATAAATAAGCCAATGCTTGCTCTTTCCTGGTCCTGGGCGTTGTATAATGCAGATGGAAATGAAGGCAGCAGCCTGGAGCCCAGTTTCCCTAGCAGTCCCATCTAATCACAGCACAAGTTTCCAGGATCCTCTTGGTTGTCTTGCAGTGGTGGCCATGTGAAGCTAGATGAGGAGACGGACCTGGGCTATGTGGAAAACGGGACGCCGTGCGGGCCGAACATGGTGTGTCTTGACCATCGCTGCCTCCCCACTGAGGCCTTTAACTTCAGTACCTGCCCAGGCACCACAGACAGCCAAATTTGTTCAGGACACGGGGTATGTTCTTGTACACTTTAATCCTTTTTTCTCTTTTTGCTGAGTATCTGGTGTTGCGCAATGTACTAGCTAGACCTTGCAGGAAGCCAGCAGTGAGACTAGAAGTCTTTATGCTGGAGAAGCTTTTATAAAGGAAAGGGGGAGGAGGCACGTAAATAAACATAATGCATACCAGACAAGGCATATTAAACAGTGAGTCACAGTAAGTATGTGTTAGTTTAGCAAAAAATTTATCAAGCAATTCTTTTGCTGTCACTGCTGCTGACTTGATTGGTATTTCCTCAGGCAACATAGTGGAGAATATAAAGGTCTAAGAATTGAGAAACTTGGGCCTCTCTTCTTCCAAATGCTGTTTAATTCTCTCTGTACTGTGTCAACAGCCAAGAAGGTTCATAAAGTTGTAGGATTTTGTTGGCTGAGAGTTATTTTGCTCTAGAGAAGAGGGCAGTGAGCCAGCTCTTGGCTGGTGCCAGCTTCTCTGCTCAGTGCACCGCCTGTGGCTTTTCCACGGCCCTGGTGAGTCCCTTTGACCCTCACACAGTTTGAAACAGTGTCCAGGTCCCTACGGCTGAGCTGAGATCAAAGGAGCTGTTCTTTCATGATGACTTTTGTCTTTTATACTGTGTTAAAACTCCTTTTTTTAATCCAAAATTAACTACTTCATCATAAAATAAAATCATTGTGGTTCAGGGTCTCCCAAGGCAACTATAAATGGCTCTATTAAAAATATAATACATTAAAAAATTAAATTTGCTGTATATTAAAAATGTCTTGCAAAATTTTGCAGGCAAAATCGGTGCTATATGACTGTACCTATACTGTAGGTAATAATTATGGGAATAGATTAATTTTATGATTTTGTTCTGAGCTACACTTTTGGCTGCAGGTTTGTAGCAATGAAATAAAGTGTGTCTGCGACCGATTCTGGGGAGGAGATGACTGCAATTCTCGTATCAAAGATGATATGTATTTTGATAAAGATGCCATGAATAAAGGTACGTTGTTTTAATTTTTACCAATAACTGGAAAAGCTTGGATTTGAGGAAGGTTCATTAAGCAAAACTAGATCTATTACTCTTTCAGTGAGCATACAACACGATGTGCCATTAGGAGTCTTGTTCCCTTCCTGCCCTTCCACAGCAGAAGCACTCAGTGTCTGCGAATGAGGTTGCAGACCTGGGGCTGGATGAGAGTGGTGCCGTTTACAAGCACTCAGTACACCTCTTGGGACTGGTACCAGTGTGTCTGGTTGTACCTTGCTTGTCCCAATCATCTGAGTGGCCTTACTAAGTATATTGACAGATTAGGACAAGCAAAAATTTTCTGGGACTTTTCATTTCCTGATCGAAAGGCAGTGTTACTTACATGACTGGCTTTTATTTGTAGAGTCAGTTTGTGATTATATGGCCTGTATGCAGAATGTTGGCACAGAAATTTTAGGATTTTACGTTTTTGAGTGAAAGTTTTTATTCATCTTTAGGCTTGCATACAAAAGAAAGATATATTGTGGAAAAACGAGGGTGTAAATGTTTTTCATTATAAATCCTTGTGAGGGGGGACAGTTTTACCATCTTCCAGAATGTCTCTTTTGGTTAGTTTATTCATCCATGGAAGCGATTTGAGCAAAGAAAAAATCAACCCACCAACCAAACAAGTCACTTTTCCAATGTAAGCATGTATTTTCCAGGCAGGTTATAAGGATGTAAGCTGCAGCAGTTTAATATTGATAACATTATATTGGCATACCCGGCACAATTTTCCCATGTAGCAAGTGTTCAGTTCAGGGAAATGGACACAAAGCTTGATTTACAAATAATCTTTTTATGTCTGTGCTGTACTTCAGGATTATATCACTGGTTTCAATTAATTAGCCTAGTGCACGTTGTCCAAGCAGGTTTTGGAAAGACAGTGCATTTACTGGTTTTGTATATTTTCCTCCTAAAACCTTGTATATTTTTCCCCTTTCTTGTGTTTCCAGGTGTTGTTAGCACAAATATAATAATAGGGGCTATTGCTGGCACCATTTTAGTGTTGGCTCTCGTTTTAGGAATAACTGGTTGGGGTTACAAGTAAGTAAATTGTGTTCTTCTTAATACAGTTAAAATATGTTTATTTCATCCGATAGCTGAATGTGTTATGAAAAGGACAATTCAAACACAATATAAAAAATCCAAATTGGATTATATTTATACAGTGACATTTTTATAATATTAGCATTTTTCAAGCAGTTCTTACATGTGTACATGGTTTTGAAGAGCTTGATCCAGATTTGAAATTTATTTCTTTAGTTATGTGTTTTCTTTTTTCGTAAACGATGAGATTATGATTTTACCGTATCTGGCAAAGGAAATACAAGAATATAGTGTGATTCAATTATAAATCTTTCCTAATGATGCAGTAAATTTAGCAAGATTAGCCTTCAGTCAGTAAAGCATTTAACCATAGGCTTCCTTAAACACGATGTTTTTATTCAGTCAGCTTAACCTGAAATTAATTCAGTCATGTTTTTCAGTAAGAGAGATCGATCTGTAATTTGCAAATCAGGTGCAAGTTCTCTCCTGGTGTAGAGCTGTCAGTGTTCCGCTCATTGAGAGACAAAATAGATTATTTTAGCCTGCCTAATCTTTTTCAGTTTTTCTCCTTTTGTGAATTTCTTCTAAAAAACAGAGGGGTTTCTCTTTTTTTCTTTTTTCTTTTTTTTTTTTTTTTTGCATGTATTAAAAAAAACCAAAACTGAAGGTACTTACTTTGTCACCTGTGTTTGGGTGAGACTGGCTTTTGAATTCCTCCATGGCTCCTTGGCATGCTTGGAGGGCAGGGCAGGTTCAGCTGCAGGCAGTGCTGTAGCTGGGACACAGCCCCAGCAGTTTCTTACACTGAGGCAGGCTGAGGGCAGCTCAAAATCACATAATGAAAGCAGCATTTAGAAAAAAGTGTGAAGATTAGGATAGTAAAAAGGTAGGTTACGTTGACTTGATATATCACCCTCAGCTTCTGGGAGTATCTGAAAATCTGGACTTCTATTTTGAGTGCAACTCCAAAAGTGAAGGGCTCATTTTGAGATCACATCTAGTCAGTGGGGTTAGTTTTTGGAGGTGGAGGGCCAGAGTGCACCTTTCACTAGCAGCTTCACAGCAAACAGACTTAAACTCATCATGAACTGCACCTCCAACTCAGCACTGACTTTAGCCATCAACATGAATACATTTTCCTTGTTTGTTCTGATTTACTATGTTTATGAGTGTGTTTATTTCAGAAGTGTTTTCTATAGAAATATTTTGAGCAAAATTTTCATTCTGCATACATTTTTTTTTTCCTTTTACTGACCATGTATACCTGCATACTGATAATCCTTTCTTTCTCTTCTTTTTGAATGGAAAGAAACTACAGAAGACAGAGGTATGTGATAAAAGTAATAGAATGTATATTGGATAGTTCTGAAAATAGCTTTTCTTCTCTCTTGTTCATTTACATGCTATAAAAAGTACAGGAAAATATAAGTAATTAATTACATTTTAAAGAATATTTGCTTGAATATATTAAATTGGTATTTATTCTATAAAGGCATTGCTTGAAATCCTGGTTTCACTGGACTCAGTAGCAACTATAATGTCTACTTCTGAGATAGACTATTTTATTTAGGAAAACAGGAGAATATATCCAATAAGAGAGAATGAAAATCTGCTGTTAGAGATGAAAGTGTTCTTGGGAGGCTGAGAATTGAATAATTAATATTAACATGATGTTCAGGAACCAGGAGACAAATCCATTCCTGGAGCTGCTTTATAGTTAAAAATACAATGCATTTAAATTGCTGTGCAAATGAAGAGCCCATTCCTTCCCACCGCCCTGCTCAATTGATTTGTAGCCAAAGCACAGTACTGTCTTCAACACAGGGCTGAGTTTTCACCCTTTCAGGCTTGTGGCCAAAACCCAAACTGTTCCTTGTGACTCAGGTTTGGCTCCTGGAAGACCAACTCCCTTTCATCAGTCATCTGCCTGGCAGAGCGGTCATCTGAGAAGGAGCTGGCTCCTTCCTCTCCTAGTTCCCCTCAAATAAGAGGGTTTCTCAATTTCTCCTGTTTTCTGCCTGTATCACCACCTCCTGGTCCAAGCTGCTGCGTTGTTTGTTGCTGATACCTGTTGTGCTTGTTCTCCACTCCCCCTGCCTGTGTAGTGCTTTCTCAGCCAGGCTTAATACTTGCAAAAAGCAGAAAAGCTTTGCCAAGTGCTGGTTGTGTACTATAAGGTTGGATAGGTTGCAGGAATGATAACAGGATAAAGGCAAAGCTGTCAAAGTCAAACCTTATGGAGAGGTGGGTGGGTAGTAACTGTCACCCGGCACAAGGAAGGTAGAATTTCAGGGTTTGGTGCATGCAACGTATCTATGAGCAGACTAACATGGCCATCAGGTCACTCAATTGTGGATGTTTCAGTGTTGGCCGAGGACAGAGCAGCCAGAACTTTGAAATACAGAAGGAGGTTGACCCATACATGTTTGTGTTGGAATATTAGCGAATCTAATTTTTTCATATTCCCTTATCTCCAGAAGTTAGTACATGGACAGAGAGCTGTGAGTATGCAGTCGATCTGCAGCTGTGTCTATGGACATGTACAGAGTGGAAACCAGCATAAGCTGAGGCTTTTGAAGATGATGGAGATATTTAGTAACTACATCTCCTTCGTGCAGAAAGTGACATTCTGTAGGCTGACTTCTAAATAGAACAAATTTGGTTATGTACAAGCAGTGTACGTAAATGGAAGAAATAGACATCCACTAATGTGTCCTTTTTTTTTTTAAATTGTTTACAATTAGTCCTTAAATAAAGATGAAAACAAGCCATTGAGGTATTTTTGAGCATTACACACAGAATGATATTTGGTAATACTAAGCAACTGAAACTACTAAAGTGAAAATAATAAAAAGAGCAAATTAGCATGGATTCTGCCAGCTAGGACAGTGTGCCTTAAAGGGCACAGCTACGTGGGAGAAGTCATTTCTGATGGGGTAGTGAGAGGAGAGTTTGCTGGAGGAGCCCTGGGGAGCAGAGCCGCCCGCACTGACTCCACTCTGAACACACCGATGTCCTGGCTGAGGAATGGGACAAGAACCAAGACTCAAGAGATGCTAGAAGAAATAGTGGGGAAGTGCTGTGTTACATGGGTGATTTATGTGCCATATAATTATGTATTTTAAATACTTCAGGAGCATTAGAAATTCAAATATGGAATGAAGACAGCCCAGATCAGTTCTGTAGTTGGACCCAATTTGAACGTGAATCAACCTTCTGATAAATGTGCATCTTAGTAGGAGTAGACTGAAGCAAAAAGGCCTTGTAAAGTGCAAGGCTGAGTAGATAACTCAGTTGCTGGCATTGTGACGCAGCCAACTTTCAAAGTACGTACTTGTACTAGGGAGGATTTGTCAACTTGATGGAACTGTAACTGGAATATTTCCACAGCAGTTTTTCTGCTGGCAATGAATTCACCACCTGTAAAAAAAAGTTGCTTGACTTGATTAGGACTTTCTAATGCATAGATAGATTTATGCACCAAAACCGAGCTTCTAGTACTGGAAAAGGGCAAACAGTTTTCAGATGGCATTGTTTTTCTGTGTCTTGGCAGATTGAGTCTATTGTGGTAATTGGGAGTAGTTGAGAACCTCTGACATGGGCACTAGGTCCCCTGCAGAAGGGAATATTTAACAAACTTGAGGGTTTTCTCCACCTGAGATTTAAACAACTTGATAGGATGCTATTCTTGAATTTAGTAATGATCACAAAAATGAAATGGAAAGCATCTATCTCAGAAGGAAAAAAGCATTCCCTTTCCTGAATCACTCACTTTTTGATCCAGGCATGCATTCGGCTCGGGCTGCAGCATTTGTACTGCGCCTGGGGATGCTTTTCACAACCAGAGCGATGCGCCATTTGAAATGTCTGAACTTGGTTATCCAATATCTCAGGAACCATAAAGTATTCACTTTGAAAACTACGATGAGAGTTCATCAGTGAAATGTTCATTGTTTTCCCCTACCAAAATCACATAATCCACTTTTCTGCACATCAGAAGTATGCGAGAGTTACGTCTCAGAAGGCCGAATTATTTATTAATAGGTTTATTGTGTGTGGTTAACAGTTTCCTCAAGGACCACTAGCCTTTTAAACTAATATTTGTGCATGTTTGTGTGTGTGCTGGTGCCTGTCATGTTTTCTGACTCTACAATGTTTATTATACTTTAGACAAATACCCCAGGGCGATTATGTAAAAAAGCCTGGAGAGGCCGACTCTTTTTATAGCGACATGCCTCCTGGAGTCAGCACAAACTCTGCATCTAGTTCTAAGAAGAGGTCTGCTTTTCTGTCGCATTTTCAGATTTCTACCTGTTCCATCACCCATTATTCCATTAGTCAGAACATTTCATTGTTTTGCAGCAGGTTTGATTCTTTCTTCTTTCTTTGTGGAATGTTTGAAATAGCATCCTTTGTGCTTTGATTACTGATTTTTCTTACATGCCTTGAGCTGCTAATTACTACAAATAGGCTGTAATAAACAAGTTTTCTATTGTAAACCAGTTTTCGGTTAATCAAATTTTCATCGTCTCCCTGCTTGAGAATTGTTTTGAAGTAGACTGTGACTGCTGGCTCAAAAAAGAAAAAAAAACAAAAAAACCCAAAAAAACCCCACAATTTTTTAAATCATGGTCATGTAATCAAAGAAAAGGAACATTGTCTTACTTCAATAATAGTTATAACATGAACTGTTCAATATAAATGTTATTTTTATATCTTTATTTGTCAGTGTCATTAATTGGCTGAGTTGACCTAGACTTCTGGGTAATATTCTTGCTGTCTCACATTAAAGATGATAGTTCTTGTGTTTTATTCCACTTACTAGACTAGTATGCTAAATGGTCAGCAAGTGTTATCTTGGAAAATAATTCTGCAAAGACTTTCTGTAGTTCTGTGCTTGCTATTATGAGTAACCAAGGGAGGCGTTAGATTTTGCTCTTGATCAGATTTCACTAATTGTTTCAGTTACTTGAAAAACCCACCAACATTTTGAAATGGAAAATTAATTGAAAAGCATTGAGAGCAATTTGTAATTGCTAAAGTCACTAGGTCATGATGCTCAGTGTCCCTCTGCAGTTAGAGATCCTTTAGTTATGAAGATCTCCAGTGAGAGATTTAAGAATTAAAACAATTTAAAGAAGCACTGTGTTGTAGGAGGAGGAGAAGACAGTCCTGAACTGCTTTATAGGAAAACTGCAATTCTCAATTCTTGTCTTGCTGAGCAGTCTGTAACTGTGCAGTTGATGAAGCCATTTTCTTTGTTGTTATTTCAAAGGAAGTTAAGAGAAATGTATGGAAGGGATACATCTGCAGTGACACTTGCTATTTGGGTATAGCACCTTGATCCTATATGCAACTTCATTCAGTCTGTTCTAATAAATATATTATCACAAAAACTGTAGTAGTAATTAATTAATGGTTTCTAATTTTTAAATGCAGCTTTTTAGATGTGTGAGTAGATAATTTTTTTTTTTCAGGGAGCAAGTGTTAATCTTGAATGATGCATTGTTTCTGTTGGAGAATCTTTTCTCAATTGGATAAAATTTTGAAAAAAGTCTTGGGAAAGCAAGTTTTCATAGCTTTGTGTATGCAGGTTCAAATACCAGTTAGGAAAAAAAGTTTATTTTTAAATGAATGTCATTTAATGCGTATATTCTTTCACTGAGTATCTGTGTTTCTTTTCATACGTCATTTCTTTCATGTGTCTCTGTTTATTATTTATTCTGAAAAGCTAATGATTTCTAAGGTCTGTCTGTACTAGAGAGTTTTGTTGTTCCCCATCACTAGTTCAGGTATATTGTGCCACTGTGAAGTCTGGAAAAGTAAGTGTGACAAATATTCCATTAACATTGTGATGGAGCTGACATAGTCCTTCCATTTGAATGCCCAGAGTGCTGTTTCCTGCCTTCCAAGCTGGTTTTGATTTGCTCTGTGTGCAGGTATGGATGACATCTCTTGGGAGATGTTGGAGTGACTGGGCTGTTAGCTGCCTGGGCTTCTCCATGCTGGAAAGCACTATGAAGTGTTAGTTGGTACTCAGAGAGTGTTTAAGGATTAAGACATAACTTTATGATGACTCTTGCTATTACAAAATAGCAAACACCAAAACCAGTATACAGCAAGAAATTCCTGAACCTGAAAATAGATCTTTAGGACAAGAAAATGATACAAAAACTCAATGCTGTAATTAAGTTTGAATCAATGAAACCCTGGGCTTACTTCAGTGTGGCTGTGGTTAGCCTGGTCTTCTGGAAACTGAAGACCACCTCTCAGATGCCTGCTCTCCAAGGAAAGCAGAGACAGAAAAATGCAAGAGTATCCAGACTTAGAAACTGCAGAAATAATTCCATTAAGCAAAACTTCTTTGTAATAAATAAGCCATCTCTTCTGACCATTTTCCAACTTCCTCTTGTTTTCTTCTCATTTGGAAATAACTGTAGATCTCATGGCAAACAGCAGAGTGGCAGCTCTAGTTCAACAGGAAGGAGCCTGGTGCAAAACCCCATGTGTTGGACATCACTACACATATCTCTAGCTCTTAGAGGGAATACAAGAGGGAAGAAAAACTTCAGTTTGCTCCCAGCACCTAGATATAAAGACTGTTTTTTCTCTGAGTTTAGCATTAGAAGTATAATCTGCAGTGACCGGCTGAGAAAATATAATAAAAATTCAAAATTAGCAAAAATGAGGGAGAGTTACCCCTCCAGTGGAGCTACCAGCTGTGGGTGGGAGGATGCTTGTCACAGACCCCTGGCCCCCCAAAACTGGTAGCAGTGGGGTGAGAGAAGCAGTCTAGGCTTTCCTGCAGCAGCATGAGGAGGGAGCAGGCAGCTTGCAGGCAGGATGTGCTTGATAGTTATGGAAAAGCCTTGAGAAAGCAGTTATGGAAGAGCATCTTCCAGCTAAGAACTGGGGCAGAGCTGCAATCTGGTGGGTGCTGGTGTGTGTGCTTTCTACAGCACACGTGCAGGAGGGCAGTGCTGAAGCCTGGCTCTTGAACGTGGGCATAGCAAACTGCTGCAGGGATGGCTGCAAAGCGTAACTGCAGGGTTTAACCAGAAATCTTGGATGCTCTGCTAGTGCAGACAGACCTTAGGCTGTGTTATGTCACTGGCCTCGGGAATGTGACTCTGAACAGCTGAGCTAATGTTGATGTGAGACAGTCCACTTAACAATAACCACATCCGAGCCCTCCTCTTCCAGGTCAAATGGATTATCTCATTCCTGGAGTGAAAGGATCCCAGACACAAAACATATTTCAGACGTTTGTGAAAATGGGAGGCCTAGGAGTAATTCTTGGCAAGGTAAGTGTGAACAGCTGTGTGGCCACAGTGGAAACCAGCCTCTGGGCTGTTGCTGCTCTGCTGAAAGTTTAGCTGATCTTAGGGCTGCAGCATGACTCCTTAAAATTGTGCTAATTGTTAATAGCTTGGAACGGGGATTTAGCAGCACCCTACACTAGGTGCATTTTTTACACAATGCTTCATTACATAAAAATGATGTTTAATTTCTCCCATTCCTCTAGTGTGAGCTAACATGGAAAAGAGGAAAAGTCTATTCGGTCTTGCCAGCTTCTGTGATTTTTATCAAGAGTGGTTAGTGTTTTTCTTGAAGTGTAGCGATTTTCTCAAATGAAATTAAGGAGTGTTTTGCTCTGCACAGTTGCAGCAAAAAGTAGAGAAAGATCACCTAAGTGTAAAGTTTAGCTGGTCTGAGGTAAATCAAGAAGGACTGACCTGTGACTTTTAAATGGTTAAAGCTAATGAGGTAAAAACACTTCTGCTTGCGATGCAAAAAGAATATACGCATTGGCATGGGATGCAGGTGAGTTTCAAGTTGTTTTACTGTCTGTCTTTATCCTTCGATTTCTTTCAGGTAATGTAGGAGGAAACAGAAAGAAAATCAGAGGCAAAAGATTTAGGCCACGATCTAATTCAACTGAGTAAGTCTGAACTTACAAAAGCAAAGCCAAAAAGTACAGTTTTCATACTTGTGTTTTGTAGATAGAGATTAAGAGTACTGAAAAGTAGCTGCATTTTTGCTCTGTGGCCCATTCTGATTGCTGACTGATGACTGATAATCTGGTAAATGGTTTGGCTAATGTATTTCAACCTTTTTTTTTGTGTTTTCTTTAAAAATTAACTATCAATTTTCTTTTTTATGTAGGCTTCCTCACAGTCGTTCCCATAGCAATTCCAAATGATGGTGGCAGCCTGCACCATCACTACAGGCTTTTGTCTACAGTACACTGCCATTGCTGAGTGTATCCTGGTTCAATACTGAATTTCTGATAACCTGTTTCCTACCCTTGTCTTCACCTTGGTTTGGGCCATTGCAGAGTTAGAGATCTGTATCTCTGCGTACCTGTCTGGAGGTTTTAGGAGAGGTATCTGTCTGCTTTGAGAGTACCCTGAAGTGTTTATCATCATAAGCCTGAAACAGCCAGTCTTGAGTAAGCCCTGCAATAAATGGGTGATGAGAGTCCTTACCAAGTGACTGATCCCCAGAACTTTCCAGTATGGCTTAGAGTTGCTTTCTTATTTATTTATTGGTAACATATACTGAA